AGAGTATTCCGGAATATATAGAGGTCTTTCCTGCTAAAACATTTGCAGGAACATGGGAACCTCCAATGAACATTGTTGAGGGAAAGGAAGACGAGTAGTGTGTTTCACAGATACAAATAGAAACAATTGGCAACTTGTTGCTTAACAAGACATTCTACGATTCAATTGCAATGATTGAAATTGGGACCCCGGAAAGTCATATGAACAGGGTGCTAAAATCAAAGTGCCTCTAGTTATAAGTGTACTCAGTCATGATGTTGATGGAGAAAATAAATTTTATTGTATGACTATTCCTGTTGATGAGTCATATTATATTCAAACTGTTCATGAGCCAATTGAGGTTGCTAATCAAATTATTCTTGTTTCTGATGTTAATTTATAAAGTTGTGGTGCAAAAGTTATTTTTAATATTGGTTTTTCACCTTTGGCTACCCTTTTACTTGCTAGTTCATCTAAGTTGGATATGGTGTGTATGGATAATTCATTTGATAAGCTTCACTCTATTTTTAGGTTAGAAATTGCAGAAGTTAAAGATGTATCAAACAAAAATTGATTGGTTATGCATCATGGTTAAGTAGTTCTTATGTGAGTGGCCAACTGACAATTATATTTGAGAATGAGGCAGATTTGAGGTTTCAATTGACAAACATAGTAGACATGGAATTTGTGACAAGTATTGTTTTAATCACGTGTAATGTTCAAGGAGCAGTTGAGATGCACCAAGATTTGTCTGGAGGTATGTGTCATCTGGTTGAGCTAATTATTAGAAGATTTGATCGTCTTAAGGCTCTTAAAGAGTGTTATGGAGTAGAAGGTGTCGTAAAGGGAACTAAATTATTTAGTATTGTAATTACAAAGATGTTTGAAATCTTAAATGCATCATATCAAGGTCATAATCACATTATGACTTCACGGTTAGACGATTGCAGTTATGGTTCCCTGCAGGTTGTTGCTTTATCACTTTTTTGGCATTCTTATCAACCTCCTACTATCATACCCTCCTTAAATCTTGACCACATTGTGACTTTATCATGGAAACATGTAAACTATTCTTTCCAAATCCATTGTTTCTTTAGTTCATGCATTTTGGGACTTGTCCAATTGCTCTTAAATTTCAATACAGTTGGATACGTGGTTGAGGATTTTGCTGCCTACCTAAAGGGGCGGATTGTAGGACAAACAGAGGAGAAGCTTGTTCTATCACTTAATCAAGTAGATAGACCTCTAACCTCTGAAGATGTTTATGATTTAGACAATCCATGGTGGTGTTGCTTGTAGTGCTACTGGTTGATATGGCTGCTGGCCACTCTAAGATAGCAGAAGAGTCCCTGAAAAAAATAATCATTCCTTATGCTCTAATAAACTTCATAGCAGGTGAATTTCTCTTAATGACTCTTGAAATAAAATTGAATGATTGCATTGTTGCTAGATCATTTCATGAGTTTGGTAAAGAGGTTGATGTGCTGGTGTTTACTTCTGCTAATACTTATTGTGATAGTGATGGTTTTGATGAAAATATTCTGCTAGAGTATTGTCCAAGCGTATTGCAAAGACAAAATGATATTAGTATTACTGGTTGTTACTGGAATATGTTAGATTATGGCTTTAAAGGAGAATTATCTACTTGCAGATGGATAGAATTTGTTTATGGTGCTGCAACAATATTAGACAAGAAAGGCGGTATGGGAAATATTTTTATTTTTGATCCATGAGGTGTTTCTTTTGTTGCATGAAGGAGAAGAACATTCTCAACTTTGGTTGTAAAGGAGGAGCATTTGATGGCCTTAGGAACAATGAAGCATCTGCAAATTTGTTATCACTGATTTGATCCATTTAAAACCTTGAGGACAAGGTTGTTTAAAGGGGAATGGAATGTAGCATTTGGGGCGAGAAGCAACTTTTCGTATTTTATGCTCTTGGGTCCTAAGTTTAGTTATTATCATTTGAGTCCTTGTTATTTATTTTTCAGTCCCTAAAGGTGTCACTACTGTTAGTCGACACGTGTATAGGTCGTTGTGTTATTTTCTAGTTAAATATTGCATAGTTCCCTTTGTAGATATGTTGAATGAAAAAACCAATTTTATCTCTACATTTTCCTTTCTTTTATCGTAGTTTCTTCTTAGTTTAATTTTGATGGCTTTTCCCACCGGGGAATTGCTACACACTCCCCCCCTCTTTTCGATACCTCACGCCACTGATCTCATTTGTTTGCCTCTGCCACTATTCTTCTCTCTGTTGCGTCGTCGGTCTCCGGCGTTTCTTCCGTCATGGCTTCCCAGGTAAGTTCCTTTCTCGTTCTAACCTTTTTTTAGAGTTTTATTAGTGTTTTATAATGAATATTGGTTTTTAATTTAGGTTAATGACTCTTATTTGTTATTTTTTGATTCTTGATTATGTAGAAGTTAGTACTGTAGTGTGTAGATTATTGAGTTTTCTAGTGCATTTGCTTTGATAAACTTATAGAAAATAATTGCTGATTGTTTTATAGAATCGAGATACTTTGACTCGATCATGGAGGCTAAAAGCTTCTTTATAGATATTTGTTATTCTTATTGCATCCGTGATGTTATTGAGAAAGACTTTTAAAGTTCTTGCACCATTAATACTGGAAAAACATATTCCGAGCGTTGGGTGAGAATTAGTTCACGTGAATTACTTAAAGAAATTAAGAGATAATATAGTTACAACTAAAATAAGTTACCTACGTCTATTAACAGATTAACCAAACATCAACTTCATTGTTAAGGCTAAAGTTACGATTTTTATCAATTACTAAATATAAAGCAAGCAAGCGGGGCATGCCTCTAACCACATAATGACTCTGAATGTGCGGTTCCTAAAGCATGAAGATATTTAAGAGGTTTTGGGTATCTCTTAAAATTGTGTCCTAACCAGTAGTCGGTGGTCTATTATTAGAGCTTAATCTCATTTTTTTTTTCCTGGAGCTTAATCTCATTATTTTGCCATTATTAGTTTCTGTTGAAGCTAACCCTTCTTTAAGCTAAGTTCGATACAACATTTATATAACAAATTTTCTAACTACATTCCTACTTTACAGTTCACTCTCAAAATTCAGTGAACGAGGTATTTTACCAAAGTACCAAAACCAAATTTGGCTTCTCACATTCAACCTAACCAGGAAGAAAATATCAACCATTCAAAAGTAAAATCTTCTCATGAATTTAATTTGAATTCTTTAAATTTAACACGGGGGAAAGAACTCAAATCTTGGACTTTCATCCAAATCACCATGATGTTATTAGAAGAAAATACCTTCGACAAGGTCCTTGTCAACCTCGACTTCATAACTTTCCTAAATTAATTTTTTCTAGATCAATGTGTCAATTTAATCCTAAATGGTTTGATGATGAATATCATAATTGGTTGGAGTATAATGTAAGTAAATATGCAGACTATTATTTGTATTGATCTATTTAAAGATAATAATATTCATCAAGGTGGAGGTGATGTATTTTCAAGTATATAGTTTAAGAGTTGGCATAAAAAGAAAAGTTTTGATAAATATGGGTCGAGTAGCATTCACAATGAGTCAAAAAAGAAATGTCAAGATTTGCGGCAACAATTGTATGTTCAATCTTCATTTGAGAGGCAATCTAATCAACTTAAGCACGAGTATTTGGTCCGCTTAACTGCTCCAGTTAATGTAGTATGGCTTCTTATAACTCAAGGATTAGCATTTCGAGGTCATAATGAATCTAAATCTTCACTTAGTAAGAGTAATTTTCTTCAAACTCTCTCATGGTATGTAAAAGTGTGTGATAATATTCGTGATTATGTACTGGAACATGCTCCTCAAAATGATCAAATGACTTCTCCAATGATTCAGAAAGACATTATTACTGCATGTAAGATAGAAACAACTAAAGCTATAATTGAGAAATTAAATGGTGATTACTTTGCCTTGCTAGTTGATGAATCTTTTGATGCGTCACGCAAGGAGGAAATGGCTATTGTCTTGCGGTATGTTGATAGAATGAGATTTGTGATGGAGCGACTTATTGATGTAGTTCATGTTCAAAATATTAGTGCTTAATCTTTGAAGAGTGCAATTGTTAATTTACTTGCTCAACACTCGTTAAGTCTATCATATGTGCGTGGACAATATTGCGATGGGGCATGAAATATGCAAAGTGAGATTAATGGTCTTAAAATGTTGATTAAGCGAGAAAGTAGATCGGCTCATCCCAATTCATTATTTTTCTCATCAACTTCAACTTAACCTTGTTGCGGTTTCTAAGAAATGTCTTCAAGTGGGAGAACTTTTAGTATTGGTTTTAAATATTTTGAATATATTGGGATCCTCTTTTAAGCGTATAGATGAATTTCGAGAATCTCAAAAGAAAGAATTCAAGAGGCATTAGATATGGGTGAGCTTACAACCGGTAGGGGATTGAATCAAGAACTTGGTCTTTCAAGAGCATGTGGTACTCATTGGGAATCTCACTTTAAATCTTTCACTAATTTTATTCTTATGTTTGGCTCTATTCTTGATATTCTTAAATCGCTCGTTCTTGATGCATATTCTACAGATGAAAGAGTAAAGGTAATGGGATATCTCAGGGCTTGTCAAACATTTGAAGTTGTATTCATGTTGCATTTGATGAAAGATATTTTAGCAATCACAAATGAGTTCAATTAGGAGGAAGCTTGATGATTTGGCTTATAATTAACGGCCAAAGCAACTTTTTATCTGGATCTAGGTGAATAAAATAAGTCATGTAGAGCTTAATGATTTGGCTTATAAGATAAATCAAATAGATTTAACTTTCATTTTGCTTTTACACAATAATGGCTATCTTTTTTTTTTTCCAAAATGAAACTCATAAAAATTAAAAGTTACATCAAAGCCGTATAACATTAGTTATGACGTAGTCAAAATAAAATGTTTATTTGATTATTTAAAGAGCGAAGATGTTACATAAGCTGGAATAAAGAGAGCATAAATATAAAATTATAAATGTAGCTTTGGCACAAAAATATCAGAAAGTCAAAAGATAATCATCTCGCTCATCATTTTCTGATATAATGAGTTTGAAATCGAAATTTGCCATTTCTTCAATTTGTATTTCCTTAATCTTCATAGCAGATTCCTCAGTTGTTCTATTATCACCTTCCGTAGAATATTTGCAGCAACAGTGCACGTCAAGCAAATTTAGTGAATTCAAACACCCAAAACTAGAAGGTATCTCTAGATTTCTACAATAACTCAAACATATTTGCTGGAGGCTCGGGAAAGCATTAGCTGAAACATTCCATTCAATATCATCCATAAGGAAAATTTTTAAGACTTTAAGCTTAGGAAATTCTCCGTCCTTGACATCCCACTTGCTCGTATAAAAGAAGCAACTATATATATTGAATATTTCGAGATTGGGCAGCTCCCCAATAGTCGAAAGACTTCTCAAAGGTTCACCAAACGGGAAAAGAAGCAGTTCCAATCTTTTTAGACTTGATGGAAATCCAATTGCTCGTCGTAGAGGTGCACATTGTGTATCAATCTTGAAAGAAAGTGATTCTAGTCGATCTAAAGACTGAAAAATTGGTTCGCAAAACCTACTATCGTCCCAATCATAGGCATCATCTTCATCGTCGTCTGAATCATAGTCCAAATCACCAATTGTGCATTTCAAATTTACAACATTAGATAGTCCATTAGCGATTATAGGCATATCGCGAGAAAGATAAATAAGAAATCCGTAACAATTTCTTAACTTTTCTAATTGTGAAATTTCATCAAAGTCTGGAAACCATCCGTAAACTTCCAAATGCCTCAAGTTAACTAGATCCCATATGGTGTTTGGTAACTTAGTGCAGACCTCGATAGGATTTGAATGGACAATCATTGTCTCTAGATTGACAAGACAACTTATATCTAATGGAATTTCCTCAAAATCGCCACTTATCTCCAGGTACCTTAAACAAATCAAGAACACAATTCTATATGGAAATGAATTGCCAACATTGACTTTCTCCAAGTCCAATACAGTTAGTAATTTGAAAGCTTCGAAGGAGTCTTCAAAGAGCTTGGTCGAGTTTAAACAAGTATAGTAAGTGAAGCGCAAAGAATGAATACCTTCACACTTAATAAAATCATCCGAGTGATCAACAACAAGTCGAGAAGGCATATCGGTTGCAAATTGAGGATAATGATCATAATTATACGTTTGAGATCTGCATGTACAAGAACAATAATAAAAATATGATTTAAAACAGAACCCAAAAAAGCTATTTTCTCCGTTCCAACTTATATGAATCTATTTGACTAGGCTTAGAGTTTAATAAAGATTGAGACTTTTAAAACTTATAGTTCAAAACAAACTATAATATTTGTGTAGCTATAATTCTTTGGAAACTTATGGTGTTAAACATACCAGAGTGTTTGTGTAGCTATAAAAACTTTTCTAAGATGTCATTCTTTTTTGAACAGATTAAAAAAGAAATAAGTTCACTTAAATTGGACCAGAAATAGTAGATAGTATTTCTTACCCGCGAAACCGTCGTAAATGGATTTCTTCTGTAGCTTTTACCATGCAAAATTGATGTAAAAGATCATGAACACCAATGAGTTGGGGTCTACGCAAGTAGTAACTAGTTTTTGCAAACATTACTAGGTTTCTCCCAACAAGATCCATCAAGTAATCAGTTGCAACATGATCCATGCTCTTCAACTCATTATATGGTATAAATCCTTCGCAAATCCATGATTGTATCAGTTTATGTACTGGAATTTGTGCATCCTCAGAAAATGTTCCAAAGTACAAAAAACATGGTCTCAGATGATGAGGCAAATCGTTGTAGCTCAATTCGATTACCTCCATTAACCATTTCACATCATGAAAAAGATTTGTACTCAAATTAAGAGCGATTTCTTTCCAATAATCCTCTTCCTTTTCTCGCCTCGTGAGAAGTCCGGATATCAAAACTATTGCAAGTGGTAATCCAGAACAACTTGTTGCTATTTCATTTCCTATCACTTCAAGCTCATCGGGACAACGTTCTTGATCCACAAATACTATCTTCTGCAATAGCTCCCAACTTTCGTCTTCTGTCAGATTTCGAAGATGGTGAGGATTAGTTGAGGCATAGCAAGCTACTTCGTCGAGCCTAGTAATCAAAACAAGCCTACTTCCCTTGTTATCGTCGGGGAAAATTGTTCGTAAATCATCCCATGCATCAACGCTCCACAAATCATCTACCACAATGAGATAACGCTTTCCTTTCAAAAAATTACGTAGCTCATCAGCTAATTCAGTGTGATCATTTTCTTTTTTTGCGGTATTCAGCATACCAAGTCCTCTCCAAATCTTTAATAATACCTCTTTCCGATCATATACCTGTGAAATACAGCACCATGAACGGACATCGTAATGCTGGATTACAGTTTCATGAGAATATAGTTTTGTAGCTAAAGTCGTCTTGCCCAATCCGGACATTCCGACTATAGGTACAATGTCTAATTCTTTTGGTCCTCCTACAAGTCGGTTGAGGAGCGTTTCCGCTTCGTCCTCATATCCTAGAATTACTGGTGGTGCGGTATTCCATAATTCCATGTTCGTGATTGGTGGTTTTCAAGCAAAAGATTATAAGAAGAAAGGAAGAGAAAATTTAAGTAGTAAAATTGAAGGGTATAACGAAGTGATGTTGATGTATATGGTCACTCGTTGGTTTCGAGCAAAGAAATGAAGAAATAAAAGGAGCTCAAATTAAGGGGTAGTAAGGATGTGATTCAAGTGAAGACTGATGTATTATTGATGATTGGTGCAGTAGTTTAAATCAGAAGAAAGGAATTTATAGAAAGCAAACAATTAATAAGCATTTATTGCCATTAAACTATTAGCTTAGCACATGATCGATACCAAGGAGGAGCATAAAATAAGGAATAGTGCTGACTGCTGAGGCATATTACCCAGTTGCTACTTATTAGTATAGTACTATGTTTATCATATGACTTCTTCTTCTTCTTCTTCTTTTATTATTATCTCGTATCTGAATTCTTTTGGTTACAGTCTTTTATACCGTCAAAATATAGTTTTCCCTTCGTATGACTGATCGAGACTGTAACATAATCGGACAAGGTTCGGGCTCATATAACATCGAACTATGATGCGAGGTTAGATTGCCAGGTTCGTGACCCATAGGCCGATCGAGATTGGCCTAGATCGAGATCGGCCGAAATCAAGATTGAGATCGGCCAAGATCGAGACCGAGCTTAAAAGAGATCGAGCGAGACCGAGGAAAGTTTATCGAGCCCAAAGACAGAAAGCCAGAATATCCGTAATGGGGCCCGAATCATGGCGGAAATTCCGACACATATCAAGGAAAGGCCAATTAATTAATCTATCATGGGATTCCCTACTATTTTAGAATTATATTAAGAATAGGACTTCCGTACTATATAAAGGGGTTTTTTGATCATTTGTAAGCCATATGAACACAATACGAAGCAATACATTGCCTTCTTTCAGCTCTCAATTTCTTGTTACACTATTCATACACCAGTTGAATCCTTACTTGTTTGGAAGGTGACCGAATTCAAGGGCAAAGGCTAATTAATTTATTTGATTTGTATTTATCTCTTTTGCACCTAATTATAGCATTGATATATATATATTTATACATTTTTTCGGTTTGTATCAAATTATATTACGTATCCTTAGAGTTGTGTATAAATTCAATTGTTATCTATTTTTTCGTGTAAGCAAGTTTATTGACGAGTAGGTTGTGATGATTAAATTTACCAATTCAATTGTTTAACAAAGTCTCCCTTTCGGGTCCATTTTTTTTCCTTTTAAAATCTTGACTTTTTCCAAGGCTCTCATTAGTATTTATGTTCAAAGTTTCCCATCAGTTTCATTCTTTATTTTTCATTTAAAATCTTGTCGTTGTTCAAAAAGATTCCTCAACTTAAAAGACAAGTGGATAGAAAGCTGGATCTCGATATGTATGGTGGATTGATATATAGTCGTGTTCATTCCTTTTTAACTATACGTAGATGAAAAGATACTTGAGTACTAAATCAATTTTCTTTAATTGAGAGCTAAATTTATTTTCGTCCATCCTCAATGCTCGAACAATCTATATATAATTATAAAGCAGGGCTTTAGACCACTGACGTGGCATCCGTCATTGAACAGGAATGATATTTATCTAATTTCTCAATTTTTTGAGCTTTTTCTTCTTTATTTTAGGATTCATCCATCCCGAAAAGGCGGAGCATTCACAATTTCCTGAGCCGTTTCAAACCAACACGTTTCAGAGCAAATTCCCCAAACCGTTTCAAACCAGCACGTTTCAGAGCAATTATTCCACCGCTTCAATTGCGAGCACTTAAAGCAAAAAATGAAACAACAAGGCGGATTCAATTTCAATGGTGCTTTATTATTTCCATTACCTTCTTAATCCGCAACTACCAGTCCTTGATTTCCAATGAATCATATCTCAAGCTTGGATACACACCGATGATTACAAATCCCTTACTGTTCGACATGGGTAATTCTTTTCACTACCTAACCCTAATCCCCTCTTATTTTGTTTCTTTAAAATTTTCTTGGTTATATACTTATGATAATTGAAACGCATGAATTGAATATTGTTTGTTACTCTTTTGGATTGTGCAGTATTGTGATTACATTCACTTTCAGCATCCAAGAAAATTTCTGGTTCTCTTAAATATTTCTCAATTAATGTAAAGATGAGGATAACGAGAGTTATTTTGCAGTATTGTGATTACATTCACTTCCAGCATCCAAGAAAATTTTTGGTTTTCTCTTAAATATTTCTCAATTAATGTAAAGATGAGGATAACGAGAGTTATTTTGCAGTATTGTGATTACATTCACTTCCAATATCCAAGAAAATTTCTGGTTTTCTCTTAAATATTTCTCAATTAATGTAAGATGAGGATAACGAGAGTTATAGTAGTATGGTTGAGGAAACATAATCAAGCTATTGTGGGTTATTATAACTAAGTTTGTTTGCAGATATCATTTGAATGGTAAAGGTTTTTCTGATATTATTGTTTGAGACACTTGTGGTGGTGCTAAAGAGCAGTTTCACTACAAATATTTCAATTATTAACGCAGGAGATGGTCCTAGAAAACATCCAGCTCAGGTTTGCACCTCACGTAATTAAAATAATTGCTTTAATAGACTGTTACAGTTATCGGAGCGGCAAGCTAACCAACCATGGGAATTCTTTGAAACTTTTTTCTCCTTTGCTTCTTCTTCCTTTCCTTTTTGGCCTTCACATTGTTAGTCTGGAGAGTGAGATTTATATTAAGAAAAAAGAAGAGTGCAAAAAGAAAAACTGAGAATAGTGTTTGCAATTGGTATTTGCAGCATTTATAGGTTCTATAATTGTGCTGAAAGTACACTTAGTGTGAATAGTACTGATATAATAATTCAGTTTGTATGTAGTTTCATGTTCAACTAAGATGTCAATTTTACAAAATTTAGCACCTCTGGTTTCTCTTTTTATTGTTTTTAATTACATTGAGGGTAGTATAGAGACTGAAACTTGGTATTGTAGGCTTATCTTGATTTTTACTGGCTATTTGCTCTATGTTGATCAGTTTGTGTGTCATTGCTTCATCTGATGAATCAAATGTGCAATAGATATTAGACTATTAAGGTGGTCGTAGTAGTTGTTTCAAGATATGCTTCATTTTTTCGTAGATTTGACTGATTTACCTTCCTTAGGAAAGATCAGAAAAGGAAAACGCTTCTGCAATGTAATTTTGTGTTCTTAAAATAAGTTCACATGTTCTTGGGTATTGACACAACATTCAAATTCACTAACGCTTCTATTGGAAATTAAAATTGCATATACAAGATTCTTCATGTATATGAAGTTGAAAAAGATAAGTCAGATGCTTCTCATGTGGGATGGCACGAATACTCCATTAGTCACTATCAATTATCTAAACAAAGTGAGTGCTTTTTACTTTCCTAAGTAGGCTTTGAACTCGGAGTACACTTGTGATGTCAGTAGACAAAGTTCAATTAGGAGAGGTGCGCAGTGGAATGGAACTTTACCAAGCCGAAGTGGCTTACTCTTGCAATAGCTTTATTCTGCTTACAATCGTTTGGGTTACATCTTTATCAAGGCCTCAAGGGCTATATATGGACATACTGAAGAACAACAACACTAATGTATATATGGTAAAATTCTCTTCCACTTTTTTTTCTTCCTTTTGCATTATTTTGTGGAGGCAACATATCTTTTTTTTTTTTTTTTTTAACATTTAGTTTAAGCTGAAATTAGTGTTACTTAATGTCTCTCCGTAATCCTTGAAAGCTGGTGGTACTGGAGGATTAATACTTTTGCTTTTTTCCATTTTATATAGATTTTCAGGATTTATGATTTTGGTAAGAGTGGAACCATGAGTTTTGAAGTTGAAGAAGATTTCTTGCAGATTGTCACTATATTCTCATTCATCCGTTAGCTTTTCATTGGTATGAAAGTTTATATAGTTGAATCCAGTTTTTCTTTTATGTGTTATATGTTTAATTACAGATATTCTTTCAAGCTTCAGTTATATGCACCGGTTCCTCTCTCTGTTATGATAAAATAAAGCCTTTATCCTTCTCTCTTTTAATATTTTTATTTAATATATCGGATTTTCCTATAATTTTGAATCTCATCATGATGTAGAATAACAGGATCAATCTTTTATCCCTTCTACTTATTCGATGTGCAAACTTTAGTCGATAATTAGTTTATATTTCTCATAGTACTGAAGTGTGAAGACCACTAAGGAGATTGAACCTTTCAAGCTTTCAAAACTTATACAAATAGCTATAGCTAATAGTGTTGCTGGCATGTTGGTATCTCTTTGTTCATATTATGTCTTTGTTCCAATTGACATAGTATGCCCTTTATGTCCTCATTCTCTTTTCGTAATATTGGCATAATATTGGACAAGTGAAATTTGAATCGGACAAAATATATAAATTCTATTTATAGGTAGATTAAATATTAGATTAAATCCGAAGATATTTTCTTAAACTATGATTGCTCTTTTTTCTTTTTTTGTCAATTACTTAAATTTGCATGGGAATACAAACTATATTTGGATGAATTGAGCATAGCAAAATAATTTACAAAATACAAATAAGTTACTCCATGTTTCAGAGGTTTATGCTCTTTTCTTATTTTATAGTTGTTGCATGTTTTCCACTTCAGCCAATCACATTTTTGTAGATGAGTTTTTGCAAGTCTAGAAATTAATTTCCACTTCAACCAGTCACATTCAAAAGTTTTAGTTCACGAGACAGATGCAAATGGTTCCTATTTTGTCTTTTGTTTTTCATGACAAGAATGAAGTAAGAAGCTACTATGTCAATTATGAACTTCTCTGAGATACGAATGTTGAAAGAAGCAACTAAGCAAGTCATTACTTTGGATGAGAATAACAAAAGGATCTGCTTTAGTCCGCTTTGGGCGAGAATAGAAGCAATGGCAAAGCAATTTCTTGATCAATTTTTAGCTGATTAAGATTATGGTGTTTAGGTAGGAATTCTTCTCCTATTCATAATAGAATCGCTGAAGTTCACTTTGACTTCAGTTCAAGCCTTATAATTTAGATCCCTAAACTTGTATTTGCCTTCACATCATGCTGGATAGAAAGAGTTCAAAACACCACATATGTTCTGTTTTAGGGATTAGTGATGATCAGCAACCAACAATAATCATTTTCCTACTTTTACAATTTGAATAAAATAAGTTCAGGAATTGATGACATAGAGAATTATGAAGTTGATCGGAGTAAATATACCTATTTGTACACAGATACACAAAGTTTTTGTCTCTTAAACCTCAATCAAATTTATTGTAATTTCATATCTTAAATTTGCTATCTCATTTTATGACCGCGCGAAGCGCGGACAGGTTGACTAGTTAATAATATTGGTCACTCTGCTAGCCTTATTTCACATTACAAGATGTCACCATATTAAGAAGATGGTCACTGGCTGTGCTATAAGCTACTTTTGTGGAATTTTGTGAGTCAACGCAATACTTATAGTACTCTTTATTGCTTAATGCTTTCTTCCTGAAAAAATTGATTAATTATTAAGATAGAGAGTTGTTGTGCAATTGTTGGATATTATCACGCTTAAATCACGGATTCATTTGCAAAATTATGGGTAAATTACTTAGATGTTCATTCAACTATATAAAATTATGAAATAAAATTATTTTTATTTTATTTGTAACAAGAAAGTTATTCAATTATCCCTATTGCACTCTAATAATTAATCAACCAATTTTTTTAATTTTTTGGTGGAAAAAGTTGATGTGGCAGTTCACATGGTTTTTATTTTTTATTTTTGGATCACATAAAATAGTTAACACCCAAACAATACATAGAAATCCACCCATATACCCAACCTCGGGCCTCGGGAGCAAAAGACCTAATAAGAAATGCCCCGATTTTTAAAAGTCACGGACACCCCGCTCGGGAACTATTATCTCGGGAAGCCCAGATAAAACAAGAAAACAAGCCCAATGGGTAGCTCCCGAACTAAAAGACTACGACTAATTTAACACGGCTCGGAGACGTCCGAAATCCGTAACAAGTAGGCCTACCGAGAAATAACTGTTTCTAAAAGGCTACCCTCGACAAAATCTCAGACTTAAGATATTTTCCAGAAAAAACTTTGATAACATCGAACCCCGATAATGCCTAAACCCAGAAAGGAAATAAAGGCGAGGTTTGTTCGAACCCTCGAATAGCCGAAAGGACAAGAAAGGCTTTATATTTATATACAATAGTTTTTTAACAAAGGCCAAATCAGCCTAAAAACAAAAATTTACAACGGCCAAAAAACAACCTTGGAAAAAATACAAAAAAAAAACGAAAAAATCCTAAGAGGCTCGGTCTTCATCGGAGGTCGCATCTCCATCCTCGGAATCTTCTCTGTCTTCAGATTTACTCGAACTATCGGAGTCTTCCTTAGGGAAGGCCAGCTTCCGGGCCCTGGCTTCCTCTACTCTGGAATTCTCGATCTTAGCCATGACATTGAAGCCCTGGGCCTGAACTTCCTCGAGGGCTTCCCTTTGAGCTTTCCATTTCGCATGTTCGACCATGCCCTTGGCCTTAGCCTGGTTGGCTTCGACATCAACCCTAAACTGGGCCACTTTAGCATCAACGTTTTTATGGCCACGACCACCTCGGATCTGGCCACTTTGAGTTCATTGGCCAAGCCTGCCTTATCAGAAACGGCCAAATCCAACCGAGACTGAAGCTCATTGATCTTTTCGACCTGCACCAAGGCTTTCTCTTCTGCAGCTTGGAGCTGGGCCTCGGCCGACTCCAATTGAGCTTGGACGGTCTCCTTTTTCGAGGCTAGAATGTCCATATTCTTTTTAAACTCTTCTGCCTCGGCCTGTATCGCATTCACCTGCGTTTGGAGCCACCCGATTAGTTCAAGACTCTGTCGGACCAGTAGAATCGGATCATTAGTAGTTATCTCCAATTCGTCTTCACTATCGTGAAGCACTCGAAATACCTGCTCAGCCATCTCAGTATGCTCATCCTGAGCCGTTACAAAATATCACTAAGGAGCTTGAAGGTATCACACTTCTCAGTAAGGCCCCGAACCTCAGCCTCATGCTCCTCCCAAACTCGGAGGAAAGCCTCATGATGCAACACCAAAGCCTACAAACAAAGAAGATGTTAGAATTATCTATAACTCTAAGTATAGAAGAAATAATTAAAAGTACCCTTGAAATTACCCGATTCAAAAAGTGTTGGGTGTCACGACCCAAAATCCGTTAGTGGTCGTAATGGCGCCTAACACCGCTGCCAGGCAAGCTAATCATAATTAATTAATTTAATTACTCATTGTAGTATTTTTGAATCGAAATTTCCTTCAATTAAATAGTAAAAGATAGAACTTACAGAATAAGTGATAAATATTTTCGCAACTAAAATACTAAACAAGCCATAACCACTCCCAAAACCCGGTGTCACAACTGCATGAACATTTACTAGGGAGTAAAAATAAAATACAGTATCTGTCCGGAGTACAATTTAGACAGAAAAATATAAATAACTCTGAAGAAGACTCTGTTGGCTGCGGATCATAATATAGAATGCAGCTCAACTAAATCCCCGCATTAACCACATCTCTGCGCCCACAAGGCCGCTAGACATATATGTACTTGCACAAAAATATAAAACACGTGTAGCATGAGTACGCAAACAACGTGTACCCAGTAAGTATAAAGCCTAATCTCGAAGAGGTAGTGATGAGAGGTCGACTTTGACACTCACTAAGGGTCAATAATATTAAAATAGAAATATTTAAATCAACATGATTTATAAGAATAACAATAATGTTTCTTAACCAACAGAAATAATTAATTCTTCCAATTCCAATAGTTTTCAATTTATCGATTAGCTTCACAAGCTGCAATAAAATATCAAGGTATCGTATAATTATTATTATTAGGCATGATGTCTGCCGAGGTCGTTCGGCCCGATCTAGAGTGTCGTGTACACTGCCGAGGGACATGTGGCACGATCCATAGATGCATCTATACTGCCGAGGCGTTCGCCCTGCTCCACAAGAAAGGGGGACATTTTCTTATGAACCTCCGGAATGAGAAGATATTATAAGATTAACACATGAAAATGTACCATTTCCATTAATAGTCAAATATATTTGCACAAGAATTCATGTATTTGAAATTTCAGTCTCTTTCCATTTTCTATAACAATTTATGAAATAATTCTAATATTTTAATTAAATAAGGGATACGATTATCATAAGTAATTCATGATTTGAGTCCTAAACTACCCGGACATAGCAATATTAGTAGCTACGCACGGACTCTCGTCACCTCGTGCATACGTAGCCCCCCTGAATTGGCAACAACTATTAATTTAAATCACCTATGGGGTAAATTCCCTTTTACAAGGTTAGACAAGAGACTTACCTCGCTCCGAAGTTCCAAACCGGCTCCAGCGCCACTCTAACACCTCAAACTGATGCTTGTCGATCCAAAAACTATGCAAACAATGTGCAATTCAATCAATATATGTTCTAATACCCATAACTAATCAATTCATGACAATTTCCAACTCCGCTCGAAAAATCGATAAAGTCACCATCAGGCCCACGTGCCAGGATTCCGAAAATTTTCGAAGATAAACACCACCCTTAACATTACAAACTTAAATATATAATTTATTCTCAATTCCATGTCCAAATTCGTGGTCAAAATTAAAAAATAACAATTTCTAGTTTTTTCTTCAAAATTCAAAATTTCTACAAATTTTCATGAATTTACAAGCGTAAATTCGTATATTTAACTCATAAGTGGTAGAAATCACTTGCCTCATTATTGACAGTGAAAATGGTGCCGGTGCAGTTGCTAAATCCGCCCAATTCCCACTTCATGTATGGTTACCTGATGCCATGGAGGGGCCTACTCCCATTTCGGCTCTTATACATGCTGCTACTATGGTAGCGGCGGGAATTTTTCTTGTAGCTCGGCTTCTTCCTCCAAAAATCGCTCCAAGGTCGGCTCCCATGGAGGAAATGAGATGAAATGAGCCAAAACCCGATTTGGCTAACTTATGTATTCTGCCCAGGCGACCTTCGCACCTGCGGTACATCAACCGCACCTGCGGCTCCACATGTGTGGAAGACCCATCGCAGATGCGGCTCCAGTTCACAC